TTGATTTACCTGATAGCTCAGTCAGAGATGTTACACAGTTAAAAAACGATCCCAAACTTTCCTGAAACATTTATCATAGGGTAAACAGCTCAGCTTGCTCCTGCTACACCTTGCCAAAATGACACATGTGCCCAGATCAAGACCAAAACCTACAGTTATTCCTACAAGAAGCTCCATACCATGAAAAGCAGTGTGGAAAGTAGTATAACTGTAACACAAATAGTTGTAAAAAATATAGGTCCCCTCTGGGGAGAGAAGCCCTGATGAAGGAAGGCATTGTGCATTGAAGATAGTGGGAATGAAGAAGATCTGGCCTGCAAGACCACCAACCCTATATGGGCGACAGTGGAAATTCACTAAATCCATTTCTGTTTGCCTTTGGCTTCTGTGCTTCAGTTGGAAAAAAATAATTAATTTTACATTATTATTATTCAGACTTCAGGACATTACAGGTTTGAGTACTTTGTGATTTACATTAGTGATAAACCTATGTGTTTACCATAGATCTGGACAAAAAAGGCTGTTTCCTAATACTCAGGGTCCTTTTTGTCATATTTTAAACTTGCAAGGAGATTCAAACGGAGATATTCCTTAACATTTTTAGGTTTCATTCTCAGCGTCAGGAAACTTCTGATGCTCATTTTGTGCTTACCTTTCTGTCACGCATCAGCAAGGAAACTCTGTCCTTCCTTATTTTACCTAAAGTACAAATCTAGCAACACTTCAATTCACATTTCAGTCTTATGACTAGTTTTTAGTTTTCAGTTTTTCCCATTTGTAAACTTGATCTCTGGCCTGAGGAATCAGTAGCAGGATACATTTCCTTTATACTGCAGTTCATTATGTCAACCATATTTGTGTATTTGTTCTATGTACTTGTTTCCAAAAGGACTCTAGTGGGTGTTTTTATTTTTAGAAGTAAACAGTGATAAATATTCCCATATTGAGAATAATAAAAAGGTTGCTTTAGTTGAACCTTAAGTTTGACTCACAAGGAAGCAGTCTTTTTCCAAACTTTGAACTTCTAAAGTGAAAAATTAGAAGACAATTTAAGATAGTACCAAAGAAGATTTCCAAAGGCTGCTGTGGCTGCCAGACATCTAATTATCTACGATTTTCTCTGGGAAAACTTGAGATTCCTGTCTGGTCTTTAGTACCTCTAAAGATCTCTTCTTGCCCGGTCCTTTGCTGTACATACTACTGTGGGGAAATAATTCTGATTATCCCAGAGGTGCTTTACTCAAGTCAGCCTGGATGCAGCTGCTTAAAAGGCACCTGGCTCTGAGGAGCCCTGCCTGCTAACACATTTCTGTGAAGCCTTAAAGGCAGGGATGAGTCCCACATGGAAACCCATATAATACAGAGCTCTGCTGTTTGAATACCAAAACCAGGTTATTACTTTGAGGAAGCAATGGAAATTGGCACTACAGTGTGTCAGAGTAAGGTTAAGTGATCTAAAGACTGCAGGCCTATTTAATTAAGTAAATAGACGATCAATCACAAAGAATAACAGTCTTAAATAATAGGTTTATAAGCCTTGCAATCTTGTTCCATGGATTCCAGTGCTGTCCTATTTTCATTATGCAGAATTGGAGATTTTCACTTAGGAATCAATTCTCTGCAGGACAGTAGTTACATGCTCCTGGCAATTTAGGGGAAAACATGGCCAGATGCTCAGAATAGGTTTGATACTTCAAGTTAAGAGATAGATAGAGCACCACCAGTCCCAAGTATGCCAAGCTCATAGGTGATTTTGAAATTTAAGTTCCAGGAGGTAGCAAATATCGTCAGGAATTTACTTTGTATTCTGTATTCTGTAATTGCTTTATTCATATTTTCAGGCTTAAAGGTTGAAGTTTGCTTTATGTATTTTTAACCAAAAATACTGAGCTTCTGCTGTAATTGTGTAGCTCAGTTGAAATTAAAACACTAAACTGCAGAGCCTCTGAGATATGATCATGAGAGCTAGCAAGACACTGAGCTGCTAATAAATTGCAGAGAGGAGACACAACAATAAATTCAAGCTGATAGGAGCCATTTTTAATGGAGGTGCCTGAGATCTGATGCTAAATTCTGAAGTCTTCTACTGATTTATTGTAATTCATGTACAATCTACGATTACTTCTCCCCTGCATCCCATAATGATGCCACTGCTTCCATGGTTATGGTTATCCAGAGATCTGAGAAGGTGACTGGAGCTCCTCTGCCTACTGGTGTGTCCCACTGTTTCCTCTTGTGTGGGAATAAATATTAAATCACAAAACGGGACAGAAAAGAAATTGTAAATAATCAGACCTCAGACACACATCTGGTGGTCATAAGATGGCAGAAATTTTGCCCTGGGACCTTTGTTTACAAAAAGAACCAAAAATATGTGTTCATAATCCCTATTAGGCATTTGGGATTTGCTTCGATTTGGCTTTTTTATTTTTTTAATCCAAAGAAGGGAAATTTCTATAAATTTTAGTTGGTCTTCTCTACTGTTTACCATTCTAGCCTAGTATTAAATAAACATTCTAATTCTAAACTGCTTTGCCAGGTCCTGCTCCAAGCAGCATTGGAGAAATACTTTTGGTTTCTGTGTAAGCCATGGTACCAGACCTGTAATACTGCTGGTTTAGTCAAATAATATCTTAAACTTCCCATCTAGGTCTCTGAAACTCTTCCTTTTGCCTTCCAGTCTATGCCACATCTGCACTTCATCTCATGCTCCTTAAACTGTGGTTTGGGAAAGGGAACACAAACCTCTTCCCTATTGCAAATTGAGTAGGAAAGCTTTCTTTCTGAGGGCCATGTGTCACTCCTATTACTGAACGTAGGGGTGACATTTCAAAATGTATGACATGCTTCCTGGATAATTCTTGACTGGGCCACTTATATAAACAGTTGCTGCCTAACATAAGAAATTACAAAAATGGGTCCTTGTCCTTTCTGATATTTAAAAAGAAAGTCTGATAAAAGTGCACTTAAATCTCATCTCAATAACCACACAACGACTGCAACTCAAAATTCTTTTAAGTAAAGAGTTTTTTGCTAAATACAAAGCTGTTCAAACTATCAGTCTATAAAACACTGGCTAACCCATTTTACTGTAAACTATTCAAATTGACTGTCCTACAAGTTCGCCAGTCCTCTCTGACATGGCTCACTTAATAGCTGTATGGGATAAGCAGTCTGTCCAGTAATACTTCAGGAAAAATTTCCCATTTTTTTCTCCTAGGTCATAGCATGTTGGATGGGGGTAAGGTGGTGGTGGGGAAAGAAAAAGCTACTGACTGAAAACTATGCAATTTCAAAGTGTAAGAAATACAGTTCTCCAGGGACAATAAGGGCAGTAGGGGCAGCTTCTGTTTAATCTAAGTTGACTTTTCTCTCTCTGTTTTACAGCACACCTGATCCTGAGAAAAGCTGAACTTTCATCTTCTCCTGTTCCTGGCAGAATTAGTGGAAGGTTTCCTGTTGTATTGTGAGTGATTGTGAGCTTCAACTGTGTTGCTCCAAATTAACTTAACTGGCACTGAAGACACTGCTGATCCCTGGTATCCTAGAAGGATTACATGGCTGTGCCCTCTTCATCTACTTTCTGTCCTGGACTAAGCCTCTGGTTTCATCTCTGAGTAAATATCTAAACTCCCATCTGCTGTGAAATGAGAGAAAATAAACATTGATCTACCTGAATCATTACATATTTTGGCAGAATGATTGTTCTAAAATGGATGGAAAGGCACTTTGCTTTTACCCTGATATTACCAATACCTGACTTTGGAAAGTCTTCTTGCTCAGATCATCAGTCAAGCCTGAGTATCTCCCAAAGCAGGATGCTTGCAGGTAATCAAGAAATTAATTAGAATGCTATCAGTGAAGCATTCTAACTTTAACTCCTTTTCGGAGGTAGAAAATAAACCATAGAATTTTAGAGTCCTTTTTAAAGTAATTAAAAGGGGGAATATATATAAGAGAAGTGTGTGGAAACAGGAAGACAAAACCTCATTAATATTTAGTATTTTATCAGTTCTTCCTCTGTCTTTCTAAGGTCTTGTTTGTCTTTCTGCATTTTGGGTACTTAGTATTCTAGGATAAGCTTATTTTTTACTTATATCTTGGGGAAGAAGGAGGTTGCATTTTTGTCAGCCGATCCAGCTCCTTGGGCACTGTGCTGTTTCTGAGCTGAATCCTAAGCAGGAAGAAGCATCAAAACTTGAGAAGCTGCTAAAATCTGTGGTAATCTCAGTTTTTGGGATCAAATCTCATGGGAGCTGATGAGGGGAAGGGGGAAGGGAAAAGAACATCTGCTCTAGATTATACTTAATCATGGTTTAAATATCTGCTCTTCTACATGGCTCTTTAAGACTATTTCCCATGGCATGGGTTATTCAGAAGTAGACGGCACACAACAAAATTTTAATTCCTAATTTATCCAGTCATCCACTAAGTTCTCCAATCTCTATTTTTAAAAACCTCCAACACTCTCACTAATTAGGAGAGCCTTCTACCTCCAGCTGTTAATGGGCACAAACATGGCCAATTTGAAATATGTCTAATCAGAGCACTGCCTGATTCTGTCTTCATACAACAGCTATTACCCTAAGGGACAAATTATGTTTTCAGATGCACACACTCATCCTATTCAGCAAGAGCTAGAGGAAGTTCATCCATTAGAGGGAAAATATATATTGCAATTAGCTGCACAGGTTTATTTTTTTTTTCTTAACCTTTATTTATTTTCCATTTATTTATTTAATGTGGGTTTGGTTTTTTATCTTATTTTTTATTCTAGGAGTGCTATTTTCTTGAAGATACTTTCCTTTATATTTGTGCCTAAGCCTGAAAAGAACCTTAAAGAAACCCACTCTCTTTAAATACCTTTCACAGAACGTACTCAGAGGAACTCAAGCTACTCTGCAGTTACATATTAATCTCAAATAGCTGTGTGTATTGACAGATAATGTTTGATACTCTCTCCAGTACGATCATAGAGTGCAGGTTCTCTGCCACAAAATTGTGCACCATTTCTTGTGGGGGTGCAGATTAAGCTTCACACTCTGCTTGGGCAGAGAATATAGATTGCTTGTGGATTATCTGCAGCCCATGGCTCCTGCATGTATTGCACTTAAATGGTACTTTACAGCAGCAGGAGGATGTATTTTGAGGGTAGGAGGAATAAATAAAAGCATCAAGGCTCAGCTGTGGGACAAGGCTGGGAAGGAGGGATTGGAGCATTTATGGTCCAAGCAAAGGTGCTGGGGGCACAAGTTTTAGGGGGTGAAGAGGAAAAGGCAGGGTTGGCTCAAGTGTTTAGATCTATACTCATGCAAGAATTCCCATGTCACCTCTTGTCTCAGTGTCTTCTGTTACTCTTTTGCTTGTTTGCTGAAATTCATAATACCTTTTCAGAGGAAGAGAGTGAAAATCAGGGCTTCGAATTTTAATTTCTAGCAAGTCTGAAGCTGATTTCAAAATACCTTGCATTAGCGCTACGAAAGTTGATGAAAATAAAGGGGAAACTGCCTATCAGTCAATTTAGAACTATTTCAGTGAAAACCAGAAAGCTGACTGTAAACCACTCTCCCCAAAGAAGGCAACAAGTCGCTAACACTTTGCAGGCATTTAATTGCCATGTTCATAATTGTCAAGCTTTTGCCTTACTGTTTTGCTACTAATTTACTTTTTGCATTGCCAAATTCAGCTTCCTAGTCAGTGTGTTATGCTCTCTCTTCAGTGCTGGCTTCGCATGTAATTTGAGGGTCGCAGCCAGGTTAAAGACAATTGTATTTTAGCTTTGAAGGTGTTGATAGACCAGATGAGGTAGCAGCTTTTGTACAAATACCTGCTTCCAGAGAAGCAATTAGACCAGCAGGCAATCAGACCCAGCAGGCAATCTTCACAATATAATGGACAAGCTCTTTGACTCTTACCTAAGTGTATAATCTGTCTTACAGAGTTGGAACAGAGGAACAAAATGTTTGTTAAATTCAGTGGGAGGAGAGGGGAGACATGCATGCTTACTAGGTACTTCTGCTCTGCCTTATAGGAATATTCCAGGATTTCAAAACATTCCCAGCTAATAGTAAATTATTCCAAATAATTCCAAACTAATAGCATTACCAAGAATTTCATAGAAGTCTTGCTGGTACTGTGAAAGATGTTGAAAATATTGGACTTCTGGTGATCCACATGTTAGACAAAAGGTTTACCTTTTCTGACAGGCATATAAAATTAATTCTGCACCTTCATCCATCTGAACGCTTTCAAGTCTTTTTAATGTGTAAAATGCAGTCCATCCCAAATAGCCAAATTGGTTAGTCAGAACTGCTGCTACCTGGATGGATCAGTGACAGATTACACACAGTCTGGAGTAACCATTCACAGCCTCTAGATGAAGATGACAGCAGCTGCTCTCTGCTTCATGTCTGCGGGAAAGAAATGGATTTGAATTGGTAAATGAGGAAAGACTGTGGTCTGAGCTGGTCTGGCATCTCATCTCAATGTTTGTAAGAGCTTTCTTAAGATGACTTGTGGTTGGTCATAACCTTTATTATCAGTGTTGTTTGTCAGGAAAAGTTACCTGCATTCCTGACAGGGAAGGAAGAACAGGCAGGCAAGCAGCAACAGCATTAAAATGCAAAATGTATTTAGCATAAGCTGTCAGATAGTGAAATACTGCTCTGTTGTTGCTCCTGACTGCAATTTCACTTGCCATGAATTTGTATTCTAGCTTGCAAATTAATCTATTAGTTATACTTCTGCCAAAACAAGAACACAGTTAATGCAGCTTGTATATACTATAGTTTTCTTTACTCTTTAGGAATTACAGAATTTTTGGCAATTTCAACCAATTAATATTTGATCTTTTTTCCCCTCCATGACTTCAATATGTGACCCTAATTCTTCATGAACCAATATATAAGCACGTTAATACTTGCAGATAGAAAAAGCTTTGCTTAGGATTTTTACTTATTTCTTACTAGGAAAAAGTTGCTTCTTTTTTTTCTGAAGAAACTGCCTCTGAACAGGGCTATTTATAGAATATCAAGAACAATTTGGCTAATAATCAATTTTCATTTGCTTGCAAGTAAAGCAACGCAGAGGAAACTGCCTGAACTTTTGTCCTAATCCAAAGTTTAAATAAAATTCTAGATGATTTTTAAAATTCTGTTTTGCAGTTTCTACTGGCTATGGATGTCCAGCGAGGTTTGCATTTTGTGGCTCATCATAGAACCCATTAAAACCATGGAAACTGTGAAAAGCCTCTTGTCCCTAGCAAGGGAACTCAGCATTTGCTGTGGGCACCAGCTCACACTGAAGCTCCTGTGAATGCTTATATTTATCATGACCCAGGCCAGCCATGGTGAAAAATGCTTTCTTCCCTTTGTTGATCATCCTAGGCTTTTGCGCAACTTTTTTCTTTCTTTTCTTTTTCTACAGTGGGAAAATCCACTGTAAAGTTTGCACCATGTTGCATGCTTAAAGTCTTCTTAATCATCACTTCAGCTCAAGGATCAGCTATTACTGCTTTGTCAGTTCTCAGTTCCCTCTGAACTGGTATCTTAATATTTCTCATGCTGCTTGGTTAAGCATCTTAAGATTCTTAAGAATTCTTAAGATTTTTCTTACTGCCACTAGGCTTTTAAAGTGCCTTGCACTTTCCTTGTGATATATAACTGAGAAGAAACAGGAATTTAATTTCATAATTTATAATTATTAAGATCTGGGGTTGAAACTAGAATTACTTTAAGCATATGAGACAGATTGCTCTTCTAAGATTTCAAGTTAACTTCCATGAATGAAAAAAGCTGAAAAATTGTAGGGAATTATCCGTATTAGGCATGAACTCTACCTCGCCCAGTTTCTGTATAAAAGTTAAATGCCTGGTCTGAACTCATTATGGGCCTCCCTTGACAGCTAATAGAGACAATGACACCTTCCTGCTAGAACAGAGACCTTTGCTTAAATGAGATATCTTTCACAGTATAAGATAGAACGCTATATAAAGGTTCTTATTTCTCTCTGCTGATATAAGTTAGATGGTTACTCCAACTAGACATTTAACTCTTAGCCCACACGAATTAACTGTGATGAATCCACTCATGAATATTTGCACGATTTGGGTTTTGTTTTTAAATTGAAGTAGTAAACAAGGTGATTTGAGATTGATTCTTGATTAGTCAGACATGATTTCTTTATCTGAGGATATAACTCTTAATTTTTGGCACATGAGTATGAGGCTTTGAAGCAAAACAATGGAAAGGGAGAAATTGTCTAGATGCCTCTTTTGTTTACTTGCTTTGGTCATTCTTATTACAATTTTGAATGAAAAACCCCATGAAACTTGCCTTTCTAATGGACTTAATAGCAAAATATTTAAAAATCAAAATGTATCAAAATAGGATTAAAATTCTATAACTGTAATTAAACTAAATAAATTTGAGTATTGCACTCCTCCAGACTAAGATAACTGAAGACTAATCAATGAATTGATGAATTAACCATAGTATGTAATTAACTCAGTAATTATTCACCAGTGTTGGACGACAGTTAAGATTCACTTAATGAAAATCTTTTACATATGGGTTATTCTTAAAAATGTTCGATTATAGAAAGAAAAATTATGCAACCTGCTTCCCTTACTGTCTTCTGTGTTGGAAGAAGGAGCCTCAATGCCGCTGTTCAATATGGGATTTACACAGTCAACCCTTGTTCCTTGTCTCAATATAGAATAATTCTTACCTTTATTTTTAGGGTTGTGTTGCAGATTTCTGTTTCCCATGATTACTGTAGTAAGTTAGAGTGGCATTGTGAAAAGGTGTTTGCCAAAAATAAGGGAATTTTCTGGTGCATTTGCTCAATACACAAAGGGCAGAGTCATCTGTATCTCTGCACATTCTTTGGACAATATCAGAACAGTATTTATAGGCAGAGGTCATGTGTTTCTTAAAGAATCTTGCTGGAAGGATGTGACAGGCTTTCTTTCCAGATCTGAAGTAGAAATAAGGAATTTAAAAACCAATGCTCAGAGGAATGCATTAGATGAGAGCAAATGAGAACAGTTGGTACTTGTGGAGACAGAAGGAGCAGAGAATGGGAAAGAGTAGAAAGGCATTTATTGCCTGCAATAAAGAGAGTATTCCCTGCACTCCTCATTCTTGTGTATTTTTATTATCTCAGAATGGCTTCCAAAAATCACTTTAACTGAAAATTAACAAAGATTCTTGCCTGTTTGGATCTGAAAAAAGATTGTTTTTAATGGTAAACAGACTTTACTGGAAAAGTATTCCACAAAATTCAAAATACTTTCAAAAGAAAATGTAAAACTCATACATACTAGTTCTTACCCAATCTATGCCCTCTGCCCCCAAATTTAACAATATGTAGTATACCCTTAAGAAACCTATTTAAGGCAATAAAAAAGTTATAATTCATTGAAATAGGAACAAGACAGAAGAATGTTCAATGAAATAGAATGTACTTGACATGTATCCAATGATACATTCCTTCTCAGCCATTTGATCGCTATGGAAAGGGCACTATCAATTGGGAAAAAAATCATTGAAAATAATGTCTAATTATTTATCATGTATTTAAAGACAGAAAATCTATCAATAGCATGTAGAAATTATGGATAATAATTCTTGTACTGTCTTTGTCCTGGGTACCTAGTTTGTAGCATTATTTGATATTTGAAAGTTTATTCATATTCTAAAGCAAATGAAATAAATATTCAGGTTCACATTCAGCAGAATTTGTTCCCTGAATAACCCTACCAGAATCAGGTATGGAATGAATTTCACTGATTACTATTTGTAAAGAATCATTTTAATTTGCATTTACACAGTTCTTGGTATCAAAAGATCTCAAAGCATACGACTGTTAATTAAATTTCATGACTGGTCTCTGTGGAAGATATGCCTAGCATTATCATTTAAACTTTTATTGCATTAATAAAATCTTGGCATTCCTTCTCACCGTTGTCTTCCCATGGAAAATGTTGAGCTGAATTTGATGTGAAGTTTGTTTTTGTCAGCTCTATCTCAGTATTTACAGTCAATGAAGACTGATAAACTTTTTTAGGTGTGATGGCCCATGGAATGGAGTGCTCATTTTAGGAGATTTAGGGAGTATTTTAGGACTCATTATAAACTTGAACATTGAACAACATAAGACAATTCTAGGAAATACTGAGGCAAAGAATTATTGTCGAGGTCTCTTTTTTTAGCCCCTTGTTTAAAGATGCAGGACACATTCCCTTCATGGGGTTTTCATAATTCTAAGTCCTGGAAAATAGGTCGGCACTTCCATTTGAGACATACTTCTAAATGCAGGCCCTGTAGAGGAAGATAATGCTGCCTTTCTTTCCAGTGTTAGTTCTCTTGCAACAGTAAGCTCGATTTTGGATTTAGGCATCTAAATTTCACCCACATCCAACTTTTAATATTACTAGCCTTTTTTTTTTTTGCAACTGACTTGATGAGACTAAGCGAATGTAACACATCAAATCTTCCCCTCTTAGAAAATCATAAGAAAAAAGTGTATGAGGAGTAATGGCTCAACACGACAGCAAATTACCCTGGGAGATTGCACAATTTCTGTCTGGAAATTTTCAAGGGCAGATTGGACATATCCATGATACCTGATCTCATGTTGGAGACTGAGCCCCTCCAAGTAAGACAGTGGTCTACCTGGCCTTATGATTTCCCTTACAACTGAGGTGATTATGCTTCTGTGAAATCTTGCTATGTGGATATCTTGTAAGGGTAGTCTGGCAGAAACAGCAATGCACTGTCAGTGGTTCTGCTCACTATGATTGCATTATGCCATCCCAGCAACACACCTATCAACAACCAGGTTGATTTTGGGGGATTATTGTTGCTCAGGTTTATTTACCTCATATTCAGCTTTTTAATAGTTTTGTCTGCTTTTCTAGGCTCTACGTTCTTATTTATCTTCAACAAGAGAGGCTAAGTCAGGAAATGCTGATTCATGACAGACTCATTGGCATAGTTGTAAATACAAACCAGAAAACTAGACTGTCCATCCTCATGGTGGTGTCTGCACCAAGCATCAGTGTTTACAAGAAGACCAGTTCTGGTGTGCACAAGCAGAATGGAGCAGGGCACAGTTATAGGAATTAATGCTCTGCTTCTTGGCAGAAGCCTGTGCAAAATCCCAAGGGTTTTGTGCAATGGTCAATGTCCAGTAGTCAGTGCTAGTCACAGCCACTACTCTCAAGTGGTAGGGTAGTTATTTCTTCTAAGCACTTAAGAGGGAGCAAAATCATATAAAATGCTTCCACTTCGGCTGCAGCTGTACAGTAAATATCAATAAAGAACTCTTTTGTCTAAAGCTTGTAATTCACTGCCCACAGAAGGCTCCAGGAGGCTTGAAATACTTTTCAGGGTGATCAATCATTTGTCTGCCATCCATAGTCTACCATCCTGGTTGAAAATTAAGAGGTATAGTTTTTCTGGAGGTGATGCAACTTCTCAAGTCACTGGCAGTTCAAAACAGTATGAAGATAAATGGAAAGTATATATGCATACATATGTATATGCAAACATAACAAGAATATTTTTATTATGATCAAAACCATGGGACAGAGTAAATTTGGTTCTATTGCTTTCTTACATTGATTGTTTTACTAAAATTTACTGCCTGGGTAACCACAGGTTTATATTAATCTCAACTAACTACAGGCAACTAATTTCAAGCTCTTTTTCTTCTATGAGTAATGAGAAGAAACTGGGCACTATAAAACAGCGTGTCGTGCATGAAACATCTAAGATAGATGCATGGATACAGGAGATAAATCCTAACCAGAACCTTCCTGCTTCAGCTCAGTTACCATTAACATAATCACTTTTTAAAGAAATTCTTCCAGAAAGTGAATATTGAAACTTCAAAAAATTTTGAAATTTAAGAAAGTGGTGTGATGACTTCTCCTTTCTTCAGTATGGTAACTTACATGATCTTAGTGGATTCTCTCTCTCTCATCATAATACTTATGAAAGGTGTTCCTGCCCATGGCAGGGGGCTGGAACTAGATGATCATGAAGGTAATTTACATCCCAAACCATTCTGTGATTCTGTGATCTTCTTTCTCCAGTGATCTACCATTAATAGCTATTTCTGTTTGGTTTTTTTGGTTTTTTTAATAATATTGCTCGTCTTTTTTTTTTTTTTAATCTTCATTTGACTGCACATACCAAATAAGAAGCAGAAGTTGATTGCTGTTGTCAAAAATCTATAAATATGAACTGAGATATTAAATATTGATGAGTTCAAAATCAATGTAAGTATCAAGGAACAATACATTTTGTGGTGCATCAAAACAAGACATAAACTCAGTATTTTTGCCCTGGTATATGTACAGATATTCCTAAATTCACTACAACTGTGTGCATTTGAAGATAAAACTGATGAATTATGCTTTGCTACATATATTGACCACCATAACCATACTCCGGTGTTGATGCATCTAATTTGAACTTCCTACTTAAATTAATGAGTTGCTTTACTTTTTTTTGCTGAATGAAAATTCTAAAGAAGAAGTGAAATTAAAACCACTGAAAAAGAAATAATGGCCCTTCTCTTCTGTAAAGGCAGCATTAAATTTGATAAAATTCATTGTTATGGATTAGGATTGAGTGAATTATCATGACAAGAGAAATATATTTCCAGGACCTGTTATTAACCATTACTCATGAGCTAAAAGAACAGAGATAGTTTCAGCTGGTTTCAGCCAATCAAGAAATAAGCTTCCTACGTGCAATAATACTAAGTATGTCACAATAATTTTTCTTTATATGCCATCTTTACTATTATTTAAAAAATTATTTTCTTCATTAATTTCCCTATATTCATACTTTCTGGGGCTTTGCTTACTGGAAAAGATTCAGTAATTGTGAATGAAATACAGGTATGGGAAATATGATGCATGGGAAAACCTGTTTAGGAAGATAAGCATGAATAGAAACACACTAAAAGATGACCTTGGCAAAGCTAAAGCAAAATTTGAGCAAAGCTGAATTCTAACCATTCTGTTCAAAATCTCCTGATTCATCCAAGATTAGCAGTTGCAGACTTAGGGAAATAGGCTTAACTCCTTTTATATTTAGAACTTCACCCATATCTCAGAATTAGCCTCCTTGTTTTGGAGAAAGTACTTCACATTTGTCAGGAACAGTATTTATGCCAGAGATGTGCAGCCATAGGAAGCCCAGATGAGAGCCCAAATCAACCACTATATAATATGGATGTGACTTTTTTTTCTATATTCTCCTTACAGGAGAGCCTGAATATTGACTCCCTTCTCAGAGCCTCTTTCCTCTATCCTGATCATCAGGAAAACAGTCAGGCACTGTAGGAGATCATTTTGGGTGAACAAGGATTCCTGATAGAGGTCAAATTCATAAGGGAAACCCAGATGGAAGCTAGGTCAGGAAACAGAAATGAGGACAGGCTACCAGGCTGCCAAGAAAGAGTTGTTTGCTGTGATTCTTCAAGTGATGAATACCAGGCTATACTGAGATTCTTTCACAACAACATAGGTTGAGAGAAAACACTTATCAGATATGGTTTTGCCCTCTCTTTTGAGTATGTCCAGGTTTGTGACCCAACTACTTGTTGAGGAATCCAGACCACAACATGTGTGAAAAGAAGGAGATTATTTTTTTCAGCTGGAGAGGATATTAGAAAGGGAATCTGACTGTTCTCTTCACCTACCTGAAGAGAATTATAGAAAAGATTGAACCAGATTCTCTCAGTGGCACATGATGAACAGTCAAGAACCAACAGCTGCAAGTCATAGTAAAAGAAATTCCCACTAGGCATAAGGGAATAATTTACAGACTGAGTGTGACAGACTCCACAGAGGCAGTGAAATCCCCATCTTTGGAAATGTTGCAAACTGGTCTGGTAAAGTCGCTGAGCAGCCTAATCAGACTCCATGCTTTGAACAGGAATTTGGGCCATGTAGTCTCCACAGATCCCTCCCAACTTAATATTTTCTCATTCTATGCCATCCATCCTCAGATAAAGATATTAATTCCTATCCATTTTTTCACTCCTAAAAGTGTCCAATTACTGTCTTCCAGTTAGTGTTTGGGTCTAAAAAAATAATTCATCAATCTCAAAAGGAGCAAGAACACAAAAGCCAGAAATCTTAAGCCAGATTGGGAGAGAATAAAAAGAATACTGCAGTGCAAGAAGCCTCAGAATACTCCAATGGATCGAAAACTTATGTGTGAAGTTTAAACTGTGGATCATATAATTGGGATGACTTTCTGTTAACTCAATGGATTTAAAAATGGTGCATCAGGACAAGACTGGGTACAGACACATACTCAAAGAAGCCCCATGGCTCTAAGTTTTTGCTGGAAGAAAAGTCAATAGTGACACAAGGACCTGGGACCAAAGAGGCAAAAATGGTACTATTTTCACTGTATAAAGTATGGATACTCCAGCTGGGAAAAGAACAGGCAGGCAAGGTCTGTGCATGTATGAAGATTTTTAAACATCAGTGGGAATGGAGAAACTGTGAAAAGAGCTAGCAGTATCTGTAACTGGCCAGGGAAAGAGTCACACTGAGAATAGACAGCCTGAAAAGTGAAATGTGATACAGGCTTGCCAAAGAAGGAGATTGGAACAAGAATTGGAAAGAAATTTAAATAAGAGTGTCAATCTCCATGGCAAAGGCTCTGTTAATCATTCAATGAGAAATGAAGAACAGATCTGGTGAATATACAAATCCTTCACCATCAACAGAAGTGCATGAAAGATACTTGGAAGCATTTTTGCATCGCTTTCTTATGTTTTTGGAACAGGTTGTGTTTAAATTAAGTTATACATGTATTCAGCTCTGGAGCCCCATAACAGAAGTACATGGACCACTTGGACTGAGTCCAGAGGAGGGTCACAAGGATAACCAGAAGGATGGAGTGCTTCGTGTGGAAGGAAAGACTGAGAGAGTTGGGGTTGTTCAGCCTAGAGAGGAGAAAGCTTCAGAGAGACCTTACAGCACCTTCCTATATGTACAAGGAGCTACAGGAAACCTGGAGAGGGACTTCTAACAAGGGCATGTGGTGATGGGACAAGGACTAATGGCTTTTAACTGAAAGAGAGCATATTTAGATTATCTATTAGGAAGAAATTCTTTACTCTGAGGGTAGTGAGACACTGTCAGAATTTGCCCAGAGAAGTTGTGTAAGCCCCATTCCTTTTTGCACTTTTCAAATTCTGATTTTCAAGTCATACCCGGCTGCAAAGCAGGTGGCAGGAGAGAGCAGCCTATGGCAATACTAATGGTAATGCCTTGTTTATTAGAGGTGGAATTGCCTTTTCCATCCTGAGAGGATTTGTATTTTATATTTGAAGCATACGGAAGTTTATGTCCTCTCATAAGTTTTACACTGTACTAGTGCCATTCAGAGATTTTTTTTTTAAATTCATACTATTTATAAAAAAAATCTTGTTAAAGTTTTGATACTGGAAAATTTTTGTGGCTGTTCCCCAGGCTAAGTGGATGCCACAGAAACACTATTGTGTTCTAAAACTTCTGCATCTGTCACTTCTCTATGTGGGTGGGGTTTTTTTGTTGGTTTTTTTGTTTGTTTTTGTTTTTGGGTTTTTTTGGGTTTTTTTTGTTTTTTTGGTTTTTTTTTTTTTTTTNTAATATTCTCACGATGCTAGAAAAAGTGTCAAGATGGGAGACTTTTTCTGTGCAGTCACTTTTTAATCTTGGGCCTTGCACTCCCCAGTTCACAATGCATAGATGTAAAAGGGTAAATTCTTCACAAACATAAAACTGTCACGAAGTGTTCCTTGTTTTGGAATGTGGAAAGTAGCCACAGGCAACCTTTGTTTTATCAGTGTTTCCTCCTTTTTAAAGTTGAATTTCAAAAAAAGACCTGAAACTGTGAAATCACTTCTTTAGTTTGTTTTCTACCTTCCTCTGTCTGAATAAACATGTCAATCAGTCTCAGATCCTCTATCTTTCATAGGCCTGGGAAAAGAACAAATAAAAGAAGTTTCTCTCTTCTCTCATCAACTTCCTTTGTTTTCTTGAGTCCTAGTCCACAGGGTCTGTTTGGAAAGAAATTAAGAGTCTTGACATCAGCTTTTTAAAGATCTGAACTTTTTTAAACTAAACGTTCCCCAGGCTTCATGCAGGAAACATTTTACCTTGGCAGAAAACTAACTGAGATCAGTGCTTGGCACCATAATGACAGAATCATAGCATGCTTTGGATTGGAAGGAACCTTACAGATCATCCACCTTCTCTGCCATGAGCAGGGGCACCTTCCACTAGACCAGGTTGCTCAGAGCATCATTCAACCTGGTGTTAAACAATTCCAGGGATGGGGCAGTCACAGCTTCTCTGGATAACCTTTGCTAGTGTCTCATCACTCTCATAGTGAAAAAATAATAGTGTATTTTATTAAGTGATACTTAAATTAACTCCAGTGCTGTTAATTTTTTTTCTCACAAGGCCAGAAAAGAGTGAAAATAAAAGGGAAAATGAGAGATGAATCAGATATGTAGACATTTATGGTCTGACTTGCTTGGTGATTAATTTCTCTATGCATTTTCCAGGTTCAAATGGAGTATTCTGGTCAATGTCATTCTTTCATGCAGCAGCACATTTTTTCATGAATTATGTATTTGCATTAAGTACCTATGAGTCATGAATGGTGTGCTTAGTAGTCAGGTGCTTCTTTTTCCTATAAATTGGATAATATGTAAATGAAACAAAGGCTGTAAAATTTCATCATCAATCTGTTTGGCTGTGGTTTATGGCTCCTCTACTGTTCATGTGTATTTTCTCTTTGCTGATTTTTGCTCATCTTCTTGTGTGCAGGTTTTATTGTATCAGGTTCCCTTTCCAGGTCCTTATGCAGCACTATTAAGCTTTCAGTTCAGAAATGCTTACACAGGCAAAACTTGAGATTTTGTTCTCTTCACATAAAGACTTCCTTCAATGAGACACACTCACAGCACTTCATTTTCCCCTGCAAGAAGTTAGAGAGGGAATGGAAGAGTTTAATTTCTTTTAAGAGAAGTGACTCCAAGACAATATTATTAACAACTGCTTACAGAACAGCATAATAGATTATTTTTACACCAAAAGATATCTATGTCCATTAACAAATATTAGCTGACTTGTTCCCTTTCCAGATCCATGTGTTGACTTTGTAGTTCTATTAATTTTGTTTCCACTGTAAATGTAAAATATGGTTTGTGTTGTAGAGCTCTAATTAGCACTTGATGTTGAGACTACAGACCATTTCTCTTTTCTTTAATCTTTCTGAGCTTTCACTATAACTTCATGTTAGTATGCACCTAGTTTGCTTCTGTCTGTAAAACTTACTTCATGTCAAATTATATATATATTAGAAACTGAAAGAAGCAGCTCACAATCTGAAAAAAGAAAATTTGAAGCCAACATGGGATAAGAGCAGGTTAGGCAAAAAGGATGTTTTATTCATTTTGATGCCTATAACCTGAGGAAATCCATATTTCCAAGTCCACACTTGCTTGTTCACTATGTTCAATGCTGCCAGTGGACTGGAAATAGCAGCTGTTCCAGGACTGTGCCTAATAAATCTGTAACAGAAGGATACAAGACAAATAGCATAAAGGATGGGGTCTTGTTCTAGCATCTGAAGTGTGGAAATCCATGTGTCCTACAATAGTTTAATAATTCAGTGATCTCCATAGTGTCTGATTCTAGGCTGTAGAAACCCCTTATAGCAATGGATTTCATAAATACATACTTCATGACAAACAAAACCAATCTTTTTTACCAGCTTTGTATTTCCTACTCCACAGTACAAGCTTCATTGTTATATAAGACAAGGGTGAAGAAGCAGCTGAAGCTCCTTTGGTGTTCTGTGTTTAGTATTCCATGCAGAAATAAACAGATATTTTGGTAAACAGATGCAGGAATTTCTAACTTCAGAGTGAAAGATTCTCGCAAAGTGACTTCCCGTATTACTAAAATATATAAAAAAAAATTAAATTGAATAAAAAATATGTGAACATAACACATCAAAACAACTTATCCTTCTGATAGACCTGAATCAAATTATTAAACTAAATTTTCCTTTGGTTCAGTGGGTACAGGTGGCACCTGAAGACTGCAGGTCATCCTGCCAGAGGAGGTGAGTACCCTGAAGCTTTTGTGTTGCAGGTGGACAATAGCACTTCCCTCTCCTTCCCAGTGAAATAGCACAGAAATGCCTCCTGTTGCCCAAAGAACAAACAAATGTTCTTTTGCACATTCTATTCTTCTTTGTACTTGAATTAAAAATCAGTTGAAGTTGCTTGACTGTGAGCAGCTTCAAGACAAGAGCATCTTGCTGGCTATAAAACAGCATGTGGAGCACTGTTGGAAATCCCTCCACCCCACTGTGAGCCTTTCTGAGAAGCTCCTTTACTGGTTCCCTATGTTAAGACTGCCAATTATTTTTCCAGTAAAGGCAAGTTTTAGTGTTACCTTCTGTAAAGGGAAGCCACAAGACTCCTGTCAATGAGCCATTGAGCAGGTTTTATGCACCTTTTCTTTTCTGTCACTGTCAATAGGAGCTGACTCCAGTAATGGCCCAACTTGCTGTCATTCAGACATTACTGGCTGTGTCCCAGTCACTCTTGGTGATTACTGAGGTGTCATTCAGTTCCAAGGGAACCTGAGGCTCATCTATCACTTTGATATTTCTCTGCTATTATTATTACACAGATGACTCATCGTGCATTGTAACAAAGTCTTCCAAGACAGTTAATGGGAACAATAAGGACTAAAAGATATTGGCTGCTGCTCACTCAGTGGAAAAGTTTCAGTTTGTTGTTATGTGGGGTAGGACACTGGGTTCTGGCTGGCCCCTGTTCCTTGTACCAAAGCCTAGCTATTCAACCAGGATAGACCAATGCACTGGGTTTGGGATGGATCTCAAGAAATCATCAAGGAATCTTGGTTACAACAAGACTTTGCCCCTGATACACTTACACTTCCTAAATCTTTTCCCTTGAAGCTATTTCCTGAGCTTTCTAATCACTATACATTTACATACAGTCATCCATCTTCAGTCCTACCTTCTCCCAGCTATGTTTGGAAAACTAGGGACCATTAAACTATTTAAACCAGTCTTTAATACAGGAATTGTTTGTTGGATATTGGAGCTTATATGAAGAGTCATCTGTCTGGTAGCCCTAAAAAATAGGGAAATTCAGGTATGTTCCTGTATGAAGAAATTCCTATTGCTTAGTGTGTGGCTTCTGCTAACTACCTGGATGTTGCAGATTTCTTTTCTGAGGTTTTCTGTTCAGAATAACAGTGACCTTTGGGTTTCCAACTAGTGCCAGGTATATAAAGTATTTATGCTATGATATTCAACTTCAAGGGAAGTAAAACCATGCTGAGGCTTGCTCTAATCTAATTCTCTCCCCAAATCAATTGAGCCAATACAGCCACAAGAAAATATGGTGCGTAGAACTGTGGCAGAATCTGTATTATCTCTGAGATTCTAAACAATTAAATATATCAGTCAGGCTATTGAAGAGCATATCCCTGAGGCACTCTATCACTTTTTCTTGATGTGATGACTTTTACTTCAGGCTGATGGTCAGGAAATCTGAAGAGATGATGGCTGCAGTGGCTGCTTGTCTCTGTCTTTCATTGGTCTTTCAGGATGGCTGAACAAAGGCTTGTCACAAGGAAAATGAAACTTTTCAAGAGTTCTTGTTATTAGAAAATGTGAGGATAAAATTAAACCTGAGACAGAAAAAAACCCCAAAGTCTTAACTGTCTGGAGCTGCAGCAACTTAATTTTTCTCCATATTGCATGTTGAAAAGTACCCAAAGAGTTAATGTACCTTTTGCAAAGCAACTATTACAGACAAAGTTTTAACATTTTTCCTTATTCAGTCTGCTAAAACATTCATCTGAAACTCATTCTTTCAGCTTGTTATATCACCCTGCATTGCAATTTCTTCATACATTATTTTCCTGCTAATTTTGATTGTCCCTCTTTACTGAAATATGAAAAAGACCTATCAGCAGAAACAATTATTTCCCTCCAACTTCAGAACATAATTGTTATTCTTTTGATTTGTTTGGGTGCTATGGAAACTCTTAATAGACTTTTAATTAATAGCCAAGCTAGATACAGCTGAAAATAGTTTAACTGGCATATATACCTTTAGGATTTACAAACCACCACTAACCCACTTCAAACTGCGCTTGAGCATGCTAAAGATTATGCAGAGTTATTCAGAGAAAGGAAAGCTAAGAAGGGCAAAAGTTGCAGTCATATGCTTCTCGGGAACTTATCAAACAGAAACAAAGTCTATTTAAAAAAAGCCAAGGTTACTCCTTTGCCCAAGCTAATCTGTTGTGCTCTGACAGATCAAAATTTGAGGGTACAAACACAGTTTTGGAATAGAGAACTGCCGTGAGCCATGAATTTGCAAAAGTGTAGCTGGAAAAGAGGGGGAAGGTGAGCAGGCTGGGCTTAGCTTTCGATGTGTGTTTTTAGACTCCCTTCTTTACCTTCAGTTTCTTCTTTAACACTGTATCTGTAGCCCTGGAATTTTTGCATAAAGGACATTGCTTCAAAGCTTTGCATAATTTACGTTCCTCTGCCTCTGATCTTCCTGTTGGCTGCTTACAAAGAAATCCCTAATAAATTATCACTGGACTAACCAGGAAAAGGCGAGGATGCCAACAATAAATTTTGACATTTACAGTATCTCCTATATTTCATGCTTATATTCAGCGATCTCAAATAATTTCAAACATTTTTGTATAGACCACCTACAAAATTGTACCCACAAAGCAATTTTGGGAATACCAATGCATTCAGAAGCTGTCAACCTCTGTTCAGGACACTGGCTTAGCACTTCCAGAAAAATTCATCTGCATAAGCCTGTTCCCTCCTGCCTTTTTATTCCAGAAGCCATCAGACACGGGTAAACAGCTAAAGGAAGGGCTGTCATGTTTTGGCCACACCACAAGCGTTCAACCTGTTACATGATGGGCTTGAGTAGAGGTACCTGGCCAGTTTGATGGAAAGAGCTTAGTCAGCTCAATTTGAAGAGCATCTGATGGCTAATGACAATGAAAATGTTGTGCACCAAGACCATTTGCAAGAGAAATTTATGAGAGCTCTACTCCCATTTAAAGAATCTCAGTGGATGAGTAGAAACTCTTTGCACATGGGAACCTCTCCCTCTAAGTTGCACATGGCCCTGTGGTGGCTCAGCAGCACGATGCAGGACAGAGAACTCCAGTTCACACACTCCCTGTGTCCTCATTTCTTCCTGTCGCCTTTAACTCTAGCCCAGTATCTCAAATGCGTTTTAGTTCATACAACTCTTAGGAATTTAATTTAATAATTTATTTAATTTAATAATTGGGCAGTATTTGTGGAGTCCAATGTAGTATACGAAAAACCAGAGGGTTTTATCATGCCTTGAAAAGTTGTTCTGATGACTAGAAATTTCTTTTTCAACGTTCATGGAAAGGGAAATAAGATGTAGTAACTTTTATAAAATGATCAGAGTTTTTTTGATGGCAGCATTTCAGATGTGTTTGTTATTATCAAAGAATCAGAATAGCCAGTTGATATCTTGTCTTTTCTACACTATTTTAAATGCTTTCGTTACAAAGGTCAAGTTAATCTGCTAGTGAATGAATATTAATACAGCCCGATGTCATCTTTTGGGGTGTGAATTTTGATTTCATGACATGCCAATTTCCCTGGAATTACTCTCAATTTAAACTAGTAAAAAAAGAAACCAGAATGAGTCAAAAGTTTATGAATCAAAGAGATTTTCTTTGATTTTGATAGGACGTGCTTATATATTCATAGGCAGAATTGGTTGTGCAGCAATCATCTGGCATTCTGCAGCTCTCACACTACTTGAATATAGAAAACGAGAAAGAAGTTTTGCAAACTCAAATAGGTCTCATTACTAAGTGATGCATGAACACCCTCGTGTGCACAGCCTGCAGCACCTAGGAGATATGAAAAATTAAGAATGGCATAAAATTAACACAGAGCTTGCTGTTCCTGTATCTCTTCGGATGTAATTTAATGATTAATTCTCCTGAGAATAGACTGTGGCAACTGATCAATGCAAATGAAAGCTGTTGAGTAGCTAATACCTGCAGTGATGGTTTGAAAAGTGGATGGAGCTAAAAAGTCTTAAGCACCAGAAGTAAAACTTGTATTACATTAAGAGACACTCTTTTTGCTACACTCAGAGAAAGTCTAGTGTGCCTGTGGAAAACAGGAAACACACTCACTGTAAAAAGGTATCTTGTTTAACCCATGTTAAGTCTATAGGGTGTGGTGGGACCATGTTGAGTATGCCCTTATGTCTTCTGCAAACTGTCTTATCCATTATCTCCTGTGAAAATAGAGTTTTTCTCTTTATCTTGTTTTCTCTATATTTTCTCTTTATCTTGTTTCTGAGAGTCCGAAATTCTCAATTTGAATTTAAAGATATCGTAAATATCTTGGTATCTAAATATCTTCTACTAATATGCACATATCAAGTAACTCAACTTTCAAAAACACTATAAAAACCAGTGAGCAAGTAACTCACTGTCTAAAAATATCTGCATGATCTTTTCTTGTGTTTGTAGTGCACAGTGTTTTTAAAGAATTTCTTCTTCAGTAAACAATGATATAATGATGCATATTGACTTGAAATCCTAAAAAATTAAGCATAGTGGTAGTCCTCATTTAATAAAAAACCCAAATCCCAAAATAAGTGAAGGTTCAAATGTGGCATTAGGAAGCATTTCTTTACTGAGAGAGTGGACGAACACTGGAACAGTCTTCCTAGAGAGGTGATAGATCCCCAAGCCACTAAGAAGCATATGAACAAAGGCCATAATAATGTGTTTTTATTTTTGATCAGCTCTGACTAGTCAGGTAGTTGGACCAGATGATTGTTGTAGGTCTTTTGCAACTGGAACTATTCTATTCCATTGTATTCTATGAATGTCATAGAAGGTCAGATTCTGATATTTTGCCCCCAGCTGCTGATCCTAATTTGATCTGAGAGCTCTTGGTGAATCTTTGTTAGGAAATTTTTTTGATTGATATTACATTATTGGTCACTGTTGCTCTCGTTCTTTATTAGTTTGTCTCTGTCAGTTGATGCTACTCTGCATCTCCAGCTGCTTGCAGCTCATTCTACTATTTTCTATTTTTCTTCTGTGGTCTTTATAGTTTTAAATTTCACTGACCCACATTTCACAATTTTCCACTTATTTCCCTACATTAATTTCATGGACCATTACTTGCATAAGTTTTCAAATGACCCTATGGATTAAAATCTCTCTGGGATGAAGATTGGCAGTAAACCATATTCATTCAGAAAGTCTTATCAGATATTATCAACTTAAAACACCTGTTTTTCTGAAAAAGTTGACCTTGCTTTTAGACTTTAATAAAAAAACTGCATTCCTTATTTTTTATGCTTAGGAGAGAGAAGGTGAATTTAAAATGAACTGTAAAGATGAAATAGAATTAAGAGCAGAAAAGGTACAAGACCTTTTGACTGAGAGTATATACACACAAGGGCAAAAAGTAGGGGACAATATGGTATGGTATGGTGTGGTGTGGTATATAAGTACCTCATGAAAATCTGTTCTGCTGAGAAATGGCATCCTGATGATGTTAGCTTTGTCATAAATACTGAGATTTCTCCTAAATTGGGCAACCTACTGGGAAAGCAGAAAGGACTGGCTGATGAATGTTTCCTTCTTGCTACAAGAACATTGTGCAACCATCATAAGCATTTAGATGTCATTTATGATGGAATTATCAGAGCAAATCAAAATTGATCAAAATTTATCAAAATCAACCTTGAGCTCAGTGTAAGCTGAAAGCTTTTTTGACTTTTATATTTGGCTACACATATAAATTGAGATAAAACTCCCTGACCTCATGGGATGGATAACACCACAGCAGCACTATATGGTCCTTTGTGAAGTTGGATCATCTGTTGTTTTTTATAAAAGATAAAGACTAGAAAAGGATTTTAAACATATCTAACCTTTTTTTTTCAAAGCCACCTTACAAATATAATCCATGTTGGAATAACGTCTGGCACATGTAATTATTGCTGTTGGATGGGTCACTGAAGCACTTAGCACAAATCTGCATCAAAAAAAATCAACCCAATACTGCCTAACAGCTGCAAAACAAATGGTGAGGCTAGTTTTGGCAAAAATTACATGACAGGAAATCATAAAGAGCTGGTCTGATGCTCACAGCTGCTGCACCTGCTGCTGAAATTCTTTCCAAGAATTATTGTATTAGAAAGAACTGCAAACTTTATATTACTTTTCCTTCTTGCTTCAAATTCCTAGTTTAAAAAATGTAAAAGTTGTTTCAATTTAACAGTTATTCAAAAAAGAAGCATATATTGTGCTAGGTACTGTAGACTTAATCAGCAGCAAGACGGCTGCTGTGAAAATTTATTTTTTAAGCCAAAATCTGGTTACTTTGTATGAAAAGCCCATATTTTTGTGTCAAGGCTGATGACTCATATGCATAGACTGAAATAACTGTACATGCAGTGCAGGTGGAGGCAGTTTCTGGCAAATCTCGGGTTGGAGTTAAGACCACAGATCAAAGATTGAGAACACACATGTCAATTCTTAAATTTGCATGTTTGGTGCTGATGTGACTGCCAAACAGTGCATGATTTGAGGAGTCTGTTGCCATTTTAAACTAGCTAGGACAAAGGGGGTTCAACACCTTTGTGATAACCTAGAATGATGCCTGGAGATTTGTTCCAGGCAGCAGTCTCCTCACTACATGGCTTCATTAACCTCTCTGATCTGGTTGATGTTGATGAATGTCGTGGGTTTGGACTTTATGTGCTCTAAGTCACAGCAAAGAATTTATGGAAGAGGAGAACCTGACAGTAGCTTGGTCTTCTCTTAGATGTCCTAGTGGTGCTTTTGTGGAAAGGAAAAAGACTTCTGAAATTGCAGTGTCACACTAGAAAAAGTGCAGAAAAACAAGCACCATTTTTATCCTTGGAAGTATCCAAGGCATTAGCAAAAGATCTGAGAGTTTGTAACAGCTTTGATGACATTTGACACAGTGAATCAATGAGCCAACCTGGATTTCAGAGCATCATACTAAGACTGTCCCAGACAACAAACTTTTGTTTAGTTTTGAGACAGAGAGTTCTGTGCTGGTATATTTAGAACAGACCTTTCCAGTAAAATGACAGCCCAACAGTAATTAAAATGAAAATTCATTTCCTCATGTGAAGATTCAGAAATTATTGTGGATTTTAGTTGTGGGTTTTAGTACCAAAATCCAGTTTAAGAGTATTCGAAATCCTTTCTATATTCTTTTATTTTTAATTTTTATTTTTATTTTTAAAACTGTTTTGAGTCCACATTGGCCCTTATACAACACTATCAAGGTTTTTTGAAGCTCCAGCTCAGCAGATATTTTTGATTATTTCAGCAAGTGATATCAGCCACTCTAAATAAAGCTTGTAAGTAAGCTTGTAAACCACACTCAGCTATGAAATTCTTTTTACTTTCCTCATTTCAGTCACTACCAGTAAGTAAAAACTGCATATGTGAGGAATATTTTTTAAGGAGGGCCTACTTAAAGTATAGTTTGCATTTTTGGGAACCACTTGTGTAAGTTTCATACACATTACTGGAAAGCACATGCCCAAACATTACCCCCAGCACAAATTTTGGCAAGGTCCTACTAATTTATTGTATCAGAAAAGTTTCATTTGCGTGTACAGATTTATATAATGCTGACTTAGATCATATTGCTAAATATCCTATGATCCTGTAGTCATAAGAAGATAAAGGCCAGTTTTTGAGAAGTTTTCAATGCCCACGGAATTTTCTCATACTGTCATTGGCTGTCACTTTGCTGGCTAAGTTTCCCTCGGCTTCAAAATAAACAAAACAAGTTCTCACATCGCACAGAGAAATTGGGGTCACTGAAAAATAATGTTTATATGAATATAGTGAAACAGTTCGTGCCAAAAACTTCTTTCAGACTTCCTGCTTTGGCTGCTCTCGCAGTGTTGGATGTGCTACATTTATGATCTTTTAGCACCAAAA